TGGGTGTTGAAAATAATATTGACACTAATACTAAGAAGAAGAGTGAAATAACACGTCTGTGCAACTGATTCTTTTACACTTAGCCCCACTCAAGGCAATGGGAGTTCTCGGTCAGTCACAACTAACACGCATACAAATACCTGCTGGGTTATAATCCTAGGATGGCGATTCTTTCAGTTACCGACTGTCCATTTTCACTATTTGACTAAGCAGAGTTTAGCTCTTTGGGACTTCTGGGCTACGACGTTCAAGGCAGGCTGGGGGTACCACACCCAACTCCCATTCATGTTCAGGTGCTAATGTAATAATAATTCTGTCTGGTCGTCCAGCATTGCAAGGAAGTGTTTCAAACATAGGTGCTGGAACTAGGGGTGTTGCTCCAACCCTGGCTGAAGTGGTTTCCATCATATTCAGGGTTTCCAGTTTGGTTCAATGTCTCTCAGCACCTGCACTATACAAATTCCAGCATCCCAGGTTTCAAATGCTTGCCTGCTTCTTATAGAAGAAGAAAAAGACGTTTTCAGACATTAGTAATAGTACTAACCCCTAGCGTTTATATAGCGATTTCCATCAGGAGATCTCAGAGCTCTTCACAAAGGAGGGCCAGGGTCTCTATCCCAATTTTACAGAGAGAAGTGATGTATCCAAGGCAATCCAGCAGACCCAGGAATAAACAGCCAGTGTCCCAAGGCCCAGTCTAGTGCTCTATGCACTAGGACACACAGTGGCCAGGAACTCACAAGGAACAGACAGAGCTCAGCGGCAGGTGAACAATCGATGGTGCATTTTGTCTGTCAGAGGCAGTGAGAATTCCTGTAGAGATCACTGCAGAAATGAGCCTATCAGAGAGACTCTAAGTCTCCTTCTCCCGCCGAATATCTTCTTCCTCCGAACCCGTCTCTGGGAGGGCAGAGTTTAATGAGGGTTGCGGTCTGGGGTGTGATTTTTAAAGCGGGGAGATGCAAATTCAGTGTTTTGGGGCCCTGTATAAATTTGGTGTTTTCCTGGACTGCAGAGTATGAAAAGGGAGCAGGCCAAGATCCTGCAGTTACCATCGGAAACCCGCCAGCATCAGCAGCATGATATTGTGGCTGAATCTTCTCTTGGCTCTAGCGGCCCTTCCAGGTAATTCTCCCCTCCCCCACCCCCAACATCGGTGGGAGACTCCGGGGAAGGTTGTACATTCCTGCCCCAACCCAAAGCGCAGTGAAGTGAATGGGCATCTTCCGAACGGCTTATATGAGCTTTGGCTCAGGTCGTATATTAACGTGATTCTTAATAGCTTTTTTCCTTCTTCTTTCCCCCTTCCCCCTCCCCCAGATGTGCAGTCCCAGGTTCTTCTGGTGGAGTCCGGAGGTGGAATTCAGAAGCCCGAGGGATCTCTCCGCCTCTCCTGCAAAGCTTCCGGGTTCACCTTCAGCAGCTACCACATGGGCTGGGTCCGTCAGTCGCCCGGGAAGGGCCTGGAGTGGGTCTCACGGATATACAATCCTGCTAATAGCCACAGTACATTTTACAGTGATGCAGTTAAAGGGCGATTCACCATCTCCAGAGACGACTCCAGCAGCCTGCTGTATCTGAAAATGAACAGCCTGAAAGCGGAAGACACCTCCCGGTATTACTGTGCGAGAGACACAGTGATCAGAAATCAACTGCAGTGAATACAAAAACCTTCTCCTCAAATCCAAACAGCTCTCAGCGCCAGCAGAGAGCAGCAGGCACTGACATAGCAGAGCAGTTTAGACACCAGAAAATAGAATAAGAAACCACCAATTGTATCTGGGCTTCAGTCATCACAAAATGCACATTGGCAGTTAAAGACTCAATATGTTGAGAGAATAGAGAGGACTTTACTTATTGGACAGCAATGCAGAAATAGAATCCGCCTCAGTTGCTATTGATTATTAGCTTTTTTCCCTTCAACCTGCCTTGTGAACATGAACGAAGAGGAAGAAATGCCAGTGTCATAAACATACAGCTAAGGGTAGTATAAAATCCCTCCTTTACCTGTAAGGGGTTAAGAAGCTCAAATAACCTGGCTGGCACCTGGGACCAATAAGGAAAGAAGATACTTTCAAATCTGGGGGAGGGGGGGAGTTTTCTTTGTGCTCTCTTTGTTGTTCCCTCTGGTTAGAGAGATAGAGAGAGACCAAGCAAGTAATCCAGCTCCTACTGAAATACTACATCTAAAATTACAGAAATAGTAAGTAATAGCAAGGAAATGCATTAGATTATCTTTTGTTTTAGCTTGTGAATTTTCCCTCTGCTAAGAGGGAGGTTTATTCCTGTTTTTTGTAACTTTGAAGCTGAGTCTAGAGGGAAATCCTCTGTGTTCTACATCTTTTTATCACCCTGTAAACTTACCTTCCATCCTGATTTTACAGAGGTGCTTCTTTTACTTTTTTCTTTATAATAAAGTTCTTCTTTTAAAAACCTGATTGATTTAAGTGTACTAAAAATAAAGGGTCTGGTCTGTACTTTTATTAAAGGCAATTGGTGCATATATTATTCTCAAGTCTCCCCAGGAAAGGGGGTGAAGGGACTTGGGGGATATTTTGGGGAAATAGGAACTCCAAGTCGTCCTTTTCCTGAATCTTTGTCTAAATCACTTGGTGGTGGCAGCAATATCGTCCAAGGACTAGGAAAGGAATTTGTGCCTTGGGGAAGTTTTTAACCTAAGTTGGAATTTATAAGCTTAGGGGATCTTTCGTGCAGGTCCCCACATTTATACCCCAGAGTTCAGAGTGGGGAGGGAACCCTGACAGCCAGAGAGCTTATTTAAAGAGCCTGTTTGCCAGAAGCTGGGAATGGGCAACAGGGGATGGATCACTTGATGATTCCCTGTTCTGTTCATTCCCTCTGGGGCACCTGGCATTGGCCACTGTCGGGAGACAGGATACTGGGCTAGATGGACCTTTGGTCTGACCCAGTCTGGCCGTTCTTATCTTCTTAAAACTTGTGGTGGAACCTCCCTAGAATTTTGCACACAATAATTTTGTCACTAGCAGGGGCGGCTCTATGTTTTTTGCAGCCCCAAGCACGGCAATCAGGCAGCCTTCGGCAGCGTACCTGCGGGAGGTCCACGGTCACGCGGATTTGGCGGCGTTTCTGCGGGTGATCTGCTAGTCCTGCAGCTTTGGCGTACCCGCCGCCAAATTACCACCGAAACCATGGGACCTGTGGACCTCCCGCAGGCCCGCCGCTGAAGGCAGCCTGACTACCGCTCCCCATGCCTTGCCGCCCCAGGCACGCGCTTGGTGCGCTGGTGTCTGGAGACGCCCCTGGTCACTAGTTGCACAGACCTGAAGAACGCTGAATGGTGCTTCTGCAGCGCATTGTCTGCCCTGAACAATTAAAGGGTATGTCTACACTACAGGATTAATCCGAATTTAGATAATTCGAATTTGGGAAACAGGTTGTATAAATTCGATTGTGCGCGGCCACACTAAGCACATTAATTCGGTTTTTAACCACATTAATTCGGTGGTGTGCGGCCACACTATTCCATTACTTTAACCACAGTAATTCGGTGGTGTGCGGCCACACTAACCCTAATTCGAATTAACAAAATCGATTTAGGCGCTACTCCGCTCGTCGAGGTGGAGTACAGAAATCGATTTTAAGTGCCCTTTAATTCAAATTAACTGGCTCTGTAGTGTGGATGGGTGAAGGGTTAATTCGGATTAACGCAGCTAAATCCAAATTAAAGTCGTAGTGTAGACCAGGCCAAAGACTGTACTGCAATGCATAAGCACAAGTGCTGAGGGTCTAGTTAAAGGTTTGGTTTTGCTTCCCGAGTAATTTCAGGATTCTTCCTACACACCTGGTGGATCAGCCTGAATTCAGCTGTGTAGGATACTGCCCAAAGAAAAGACCAAACCACAAGAATATCTGGCATACCCACAAGTATTTGCAGTGAGGGGGAACCAGGGTGAAATAGCTGAAATAGAGACAGCTGCCAAATCCAGTTGCTTATTAATAGCCTCTATTCTCCACTTGGTTAATTCAATCTGGGTATTTTAAGGCCCTCATCAACGCTGCATTTAGGATTCATCAGTGAATCTTAGGGTACGTCTATACTTACCTCCGGGTTCGGCGGTAAGCAATCGATCTTCTGGGATCGATCCCAGAAGTGCTCACTGTCGACACCGGTACTCCTGCTCTGCAAGAGGAGTACGCGGAGTTGATGGGGGAGCCTGCCTGCTGTGTCTGGATGTATTAACGTAGCTGAAGTTGCGTATCTTAGTTCAAAGTGGGGGGTTAGTGTGGACCAGCCCTTAAAGTAGAGAAACATAATTCCCATTGTGCAAATCAGAAACAGATTAAGTGAGCTGGGAGACCAAGTCCAACTTTCGATAGTGACTTAAATTTTGGAGCCTAAATCCCAGAGACAGTGATTAGGATTTAAGTACCCGAATCATTCAATTACCCCAAACCCAACACCTTGTGGCTCCTTTGACTATCCTAGACGTATAAACCGTGTTGCTGAAAGACATCACAGCCCCACTAACACAGCAGGGGTCATTCTGCACTGAAGATGATGATGATGATGATGATGATTCAAAGGACTGCAGCTTCCTTTCTTGCTTTCTCTCTTTTCTGCTCACTCCCATCTTCCTCTGATTCTGCTCTGACAGCCCCTCTCCGGAGTCCATCAGCACCAGGTTCCCATAGTGCTGGACTCCACACAAACACGTGGGACCGGATCCGATGTAGCTCCAAGCCACTCAGAAATCCCCTGGGTTTCAATGGGATTTGGGTCAGAGCACTACACACGTTTACCCTCTTCTCCTGGAATTGGAGAGCAAGAAATGAGATCAGCCAGAGAAGGAGTTTGTGTGTGTTATAAACAGCAGGATATGCAAATCAGGGGGACAGTTTCCTGTTTAAATCTGTGCCTCTCCCTGCCCAGGCTGCACCCGGAGACACAATCCACAGCCCCTGGGTCTGTGCAGTTACCAGCCAGTCCCTGAGAACTTTCCCGTCCAGCACCAGGGAAAATGAAGCTTTGGCTCCATGTAGTGTTCCTTGCAGTGGCTTTGGAAGGTATTTTCTCCCCTCACACCCATTGGTGGCGCAGGGGAACAGACTATTGCTACTCTTAATACTAATGCGAATTACATTATGTTTCTATTCGCAGGTGTCCGGTCCCAGGTGCAGCTGGTGGAGTCCGGAGGGGATGTGAAAAAGCCCGGAGACTCTCTCCGCCTCTCCTGCAAAGCCTCTGGGTTCACCTTCAGCGACTACAGTATGAACTGGATCCGACAGGCTCCCGGGAAGGGGCTGGAGTGGGTGTCACTCATTTATTATGATGGGAGCCAACAATTTTATGCAGACTCAGTGAAAGGCCGATTCACCATCTCCAGAGACAACTCCAACAACCTGCTGTATCTGCAAATGACCAGCCTGAAGCCCGAGGACACTGCCCGGTATCACTGTGCGAGAAACACAGTGAGGGGAAACCGGTCTGAGCTCAGACAAAAACCTGCCCTCGCTGTCTAAGGACAAACTCTCAGCTGGGGGGTGCTGGAGTTCTACAGCTCGCAGCGGACAGACAGTGAGCAAGAAAACTCCTGTCCTCAGTTGCGTTTCTGTGACTCTCACACACAGAGATGCAAACACAGACTAACCTCACTGTTAGAAGAGAACAGCCCGCAACTTCCCCTTTCCCCTGTAACTCTTCTGCCCATCTGAGTTGGCAGCAACAAGGTTCTGTATCTAGGGGTTCCGTTTCAATAACACGATGCAAAACTGGCTCGAGCCCCCACCCAGTGACCTGGGGCAATTACATACCACCCCCTGGGCGCCTCTAAGAGGCAATACTTCCCCTCTCGCAAGCATGGAGTCTAAGTGTAGCAGAAAATGTTTAATAACATGAGGTAAACGACATCAGCATTAAATTGGAAAAACACCACAAACAGGACTCATGACACAAACCATGAGCAAAAGACCCACCCCAGCAAATTGGGCTGTGTCCTTTCCCTTTGGTTCTTAAATCCAGCAACCCAAGAATTCCCCAAAGTCCCAAAAGTCCAACAACCCAAAAGTCTCTGCCCCTGGTCAGTGCAGTCCCAGAGTTCAAAAGTTTATTTGCAGGGTTTTACC